GGAGGTCCCCTCTGTCCTGTGCTTGGGGCAATGAGGCTACCTCTCATTGGACTCAATGCCCAGCAGTCCTCCTGAATAAGTTCAGGCTGGGACTGCCACTTCCCCTGTGCTGATTCCCCCACTGCAGGGACCACAGAGCTTCTGCTCAGAGGTATTATTCCTCAAAAATGGGTTCCTCTTCCAATTCAGGTCCCTTCTGGGACAAAAGAACCATGACCCTACAACCAGAGAAGCCAACTCGCCCTTCCCCCTTCTCAAGGCCTCTACTCTCTGGCCTGGGTGCTCTAGGTTATGGTGTAAATGAGCTCAAGTCCTTTTTTCTTCTCTCTCACCCATTTTCCCAAAGGAAGATTGGTTGCTCCCTAAGAATCTTCTGAAGACCAACAGGGTGGAACAGCAGCAAGAACCCAGAAGACTTAGGTTGAAGTTCTGGATCTGCTGCTCACTAGCTATGTCATGAGCTTGGGCAAGTCATTTAACTTATATGCTGACAGAACAGAATTATTCTTTCCCTATAGCTGCCCTATAGCATTGCAATGTTGGCAAATGTAGAACGTGCCTCATGGGAATGTTGTGCAGATGCATAAGACAATGTGGCTGTCATACTTAGCACCATGCCTGATACATAAAACTTGCTGGCTGCTATTGTTATTGGTCATGACTGGCTTGGTAACTGGGCAGCAGGGTCTACAATCAGCTGGTAGATTGGAGTATGGGCTTGTAGCTGATCACCACTCCAATTACCTACTAAATTCTTTCCTAGAGCTTCAGTTCTCAGAGTTTGTATTCCTTGTTCGAGGTCACAGTCATGACTTTTAAAAGACCTTGATTAGGACACTTTTCAGAATACCTAACCTCTTACTCAGTACACTATGTTTCTGCTGGGAAGTAATTGTTGCCATCTCTGCTGGGCTGCACAATTTGAGGAATACTCTGCACAAGCATCAATTGCCACCATGACCAACGCATGAAGCATAATTATCTCTAGTGGAAACTGTAATTGAGCCTGTGGATTGAAGCCTGGTTTGCAGGGGCTGTAAATGAGCTGCCACCTCTGGAGCACTACGTGCCTACTGGGGTTGTAATCAACCTCAGTCTGTTTCCAAACACTCATTCTCCAAGTTCCAGTGGGTCAAAAGTCCTGACTCTGTGTCAAGATCTGCAGTCTGTGGCTCCGCTGAGACCTTCCTAATGTCCAAGACATGATTCATAGTTTTCAAGGGATTTTCTTTTACAGTCTTTGCTTTCTAGTTTTAATATAATGAATATGATTTGGAGCAGTCCATCTGCTACCACTCCCCTAAGAGCAATGCCCTACTCTCCCCACTCAGTGTTTGACCCAGGAAAATCTAGTTCTATTTATGGCTGAAAGGGAAGGAGATGGGGGATCCAGACCTTCCTTCTCCCTCATGTGAATGACTATACACAACAGGATTCACCTCTTGCCCTCACCATGGCCAATGTCTGCTCTACGCATTGGCCCAGAAGCCAGAGTTTGAGTACTTCTAAGAAGCTGATGATGGCATCTGTGACATGGAAGGTCTTGCATCCTGAGGAAAGGGTATGCATTCTGCCAGCTCTTTGTACCATCTGAAAACACTCTGGGAATCGTATTTGCAGGTCCACAAATGTTATCTGATTGTTCCATGGCATGAAAGACTTAATTTGAGGCTAAGTGGAGAGAGCAGACTAAAGACTGAGGCAACATGGCCTATAAGGGCCAAACATGCTGGGTTTGAGCAAAAATACACATTCTATATGTAGTCAGCACTTTGAAAACACTGGGGAGAGAGTAGGCAGAGCTGGGATCGATGTTCTCAGATAATTCTCCAACTCTGTTTTAGCCTGCTTTTTACTCTCCTACAGGCAGTGTGTTGTCATAATTACCTTGGCTACATAATCTTTGTTTGTATCTCCAGAGAGAGAGCAGTCTTTGAAGAAAGAACACGAGTCCGGAGACAGATGACCCAAGTCTGGAAGGAGTCCCAAGATGAAGGAAATGTAAAACAGTGAAAGTGCAGGCTTTTGACTCAGTCAGACTTCAGTTCCAATCCTTGTTTTGCTATACACTATCTGTGAGACCTTCATAGTTGGTTCAAGTCTCAGTTTGCTTAGTGCAAAATGGAACAGATATCTATCCTGTAAGATTGTTATAAAAATCATTAAAACATATGTAAAGCATAAAAAAGGGGCTCATCTTGGGTATTTAATAAATGACAAGTATTACCATGATTAACATCTGTAATACCTACTTTGCAATGTGGTTGTGAAAAACAGGAAAAGCCCTGGCAGGGTGGCTCAGTTTGTTAGAGCACTGTCCCGTACACCAAAAGGTTGCAAGTTTGATTTCTGGTCAGGACACATGTCTAGGTTGCAAGTTCGATCCCTGGTCAGGGTGCGTTCAGGAGGCAACTGATCAATGTTTCTCTTTCACATTGATGTGTCTCTCTCTTCCTCTCTCTCTCTAAAAATCAATAAAAACATATCCTCAGGTGAGGATTTAAAAAAAAAAAGTAGGAAGAAAAATGCCTTTGGCCTGTAAATGTTTAATAAATGGTTCCTGTTGTTCTGTCTTTGCCAGGTACTATGCCTCTGACCTTCAGCAAAGTCACCTCTGCCATTAGTAAAATGGGGAGTATTTCTATTCTACCTCACTGCCATAAGGACTGCAGTGGCAATTAGAGGTAACTTACACACGGCCTTGCATGTGTTTTGGAGTTGTGACAACTAAAATAATACACAATGTATTGGAAGCCAGGAATGAGGAACAATGTGCTAGAATGAAACACACTGGATTGGAGGGCAAGGAGCTTGGGTTGAAGTCTTGGTGCTCTTTTGCTGACCATAGGAAAATCACCAAGTAATCTGACTTTTAGGTACACACACTGCTGATCTCTCAGCAGCTGTAAGAAATACAAATGTGATAAATTATCATCCTTATCATTCCTTGAGGGTAAGGCCAGTCTCCTTTGCTTTTCAGAGTGGAAGGGGGAGAGAGAAACATCAATGTGAGAGAGACACATTGATTGGCTGCCTTCTGCACTGGCCTGACCAGGATGGGGATCGAGCCTGCAACATGCCTTTGGCCAGAATAGAACCCAGGACCCTTCAGTCCAAGGGCTGATGCTCTAACCACTTAGCCAAATGCCTAGGGCTCAGTCTGCCCCTTTTAATCTTTAGAACCCAGCTAAGTCCTTGGCATATAGTGGGCACTCTATATTTTTGTTTGTTTAATGAATTATAAATGGCCTAGAAGTTGTATTTTTAAACATTATTTAACCTTTTTGCCCATTAGCTTATAGCTTTTGATCTCAGACTGATCTGTTAGATCCCTGGGCCTGTCTCAAAGTATTTTATTCTATGCTAATCTTAACATACTCAGATATGTTATTTGGACACAACTAAAAGAAAAAAACTGGCATTAAAGAGTATAAAGCAGCTCTTCTGTATATGGTAGCTGTAGCAGTTTCACAAATCACCTAACACCCATCTCTGGTTTGGTTACCATTCCTCTAGGTTCCCCATTATTCTATGTACCCATTCTATAAGAATTTATCCCAAATGAAGGTGGTAGGCATTGCAGAGGTCTGACTTGCTTACGTAGAAGGCGCTTCATGAGTAGTTAAGAATGTGAGAGATGCCTTACAAATCTCCTCCAAATGGGAAGTAGTAGGTGGAAAGTGATAGGTAGAAACACGGATAAGGGCCCTGGGCTTTCTGGTGCCAGGGGAGAGATCTTGAAGTATAACTTCTTGGTAGTAGGGGACACCATATGTACCCTCCCCACCAAGAATTGTTACAATATTTGGTCTCTGTGGGCTTTGGTAGAAGAGGGAACCTTGTAGAGGTAAGAGAAGGGATGGAGAAGACCAAAGTGCTAATAGTCACCATTGTTGTTTGTGCACTGTGATAAAGTGCCCTGGAACAAGAGCACTGGCAAAGGTAGCGTGTTTTCCAGATCTGCCATGTATCAAGTCTTCTTCCCATGTTACTGAGGAACATCTGTGATCCTAAGTAATTTTTTTTTAATTTTAAATTTTTAAAAATTGATTATTTAGAGATGGAGGGAGAGGGAGAAACATCCATGTGAGAGGGAAACATCGATTGGCTGCCTCCTGCATGGCCCCTACTGGGGATCAAGCACACAACCTAGGCACGTGCCCTGACTGGGAACTGAACTGGCAACCTCTCAGTGCACAGGATGACACTCGACCAACTGAGCCACACTGGCCAGGGCCCCAAGTAATTTTTAATACCATTTCCCACCCCCAAAGTCTTTTCCCCTTTTCCTTCCCCTCCCTTTACCCACCCCATTTCTCCTTTTCCCAAAGCCTGACCAAAACCTTGCTCTATCACTCTTGCTGGGTTAGGTGTCCCCTTATAGCCTTCAACTCACTGCACTGTAATTTCTAGTTTATTTACTACCTGTCCAGTTCTGAAAAGTAGGCCCTTTATCTTGTTCAACATTCTATCCCCGGATTCCCCAAATAGTGCACCACAGTAAAGATAATGTTCAACAAATGTTTAATCTATTTAGTATACCTGAGTATACTTCTAATTTATTGCATTTTAATTTTCTCTAGATACTATAATAGCTAAGCAAATGGAGGTATATGTCAATCTTTTTTTCTTTATAAAATAGACAAAAAGTGTTGGGAAGTTGGACACAAATCAGCTATTTTTTCCTAGTACCAGATCTTCATACCGCAGAGTTTCTTGGAACCACTAAAGTACAGCACTAATATGCTGCATAATTTGTTTTAACATCATGGAATAAAATACAAAGTTTTTAAAACTATTTTACAAAACCATCAAAACTCTACAACAAAACCCTACAAGAAAAAGTAGATCTCATTTATAAACATCAATTTAAGAATATATTAAACAAAACATAGCAAGATGCAAAACTTAAATTCTAGTTACACAAATATATCTCCTATAGAAATAACCACCTTCCCCTCATCTGTACTACTCAAGACTCAATCAGCAGCTTCCATAACGACCCCCACCCACGCCCTCGCTGACCACTTTCCATCAGCCCTCAGCAGGGGCGGATGCCAGCCCTAGCATTGGCCCTGGCCCTAACCCTAGCCCTCATACTGGCCTCGGCTCTGGCCCTGTCGGCCTCATGGTACTGCAATGGCCAGCGCTGGGGTTTCTTTTCATGGAGCTTGGCCACGAACCCCAAGATTTTCAATTTGCTGGTTTCCAGATTGCTTAGGGGACTCCAAGAGAATTCACAACCGGGTGGAGTGGTGTGAGGCACCCACCTGTAACTGAGCTATTGTTGCTGCACGAAATCTTCCATAATAAGCCTCTTCGGGTGCCCCAAGAGGTAGTGATGTTATCGGCATACTTTGAGGGACACACCTCCCCACCAACGCAGCATCTCCCAGACCTGTTCCTCCCTGGCGCTATTACCTTTCATGTAGATAAAGCCCAAGACCATCATTAAGAGACCCAATCTGGGGCCATCTCCTCCCAGATCCTCCTCCTCCTCCTCCTCCTCCAAAGGTTTTAGTTTGTTGACCAGGATATAAGTGTGGTGCTTGCAGCCGAGCTGTTTCAGCTCAAAACCAAAGACATACCGCCGAATCTGCGGCCCTAGCGATGATCTCAGGGAAAAGATCCTTTAAGTCTCAGATAACGTATTTCGCCCTCTCAGAGCGAGTGATGGGACTCTTCTTTTTGTCCTTCACCAGCAGGAACGGCACCAACTCCGCCACCATCCGCAGACGGTCATAGGCCCTGCGCAGAGTCGGGGCTGCGGCTGCCAAGACCCTCCTCGCGCCTCTCCGGGTGAGG